TCTGTAGTATGTCTTATCTAATTTATCTACATTTCTTATTAGCATCATTTGATAATGTTGAGCAGCAGCAATATGCTGATGGATAAATTTTGAAATGCACTGGACAACACAAGGGCCAAACATCAGCACTAATATGATAACAAGGAGAGGGCCCAAAAGGGGTCCTATATATGTTTTCCATCCTATCCAAGTGAAATCAATTCCATAAGATGGTTCTCCTGTACCAAATTCATTATCAAGAGTCTTAATTCAATCTCTTAATTTATCCAGTGATTCTTGCACTATACCAGGCTTGTCAGCATAGTAACAACATTCTTCACTGAGGAATAAATAGGTTCCCCCTTTTTGAGCTGTGAGCAAATCAAAAGCTCATCTGTTCTGAGAATCTAGCTGAGTTTCTAGGGCTTAGAATGCATCTCAAATTTCCTCCAGGTGTTTTCTAATCTCTTGTCCTAATGAAATATGCTGTTTGTTCCCTAGGCTAATGACTGTCCCCCCCAAAATGAGACTGCTGGTGATTGCAAGTCTGGTTAGGATAGGTAGCACCACCAGGTCTCTCTTTGTTTGAATTGTTTGCACCGGGGAAGCAATTTGTAAAGGCACGTTTTTATGGCTGCCAGGGTGTAAACAGAAAACTTTGGGATTAGAATCCCCAAAGTACACTTTGTGGAGATTTGTCCTGAGATCACCTTGTACATTCCATCTCCACAGATGAAAAAGCTCCCATTAGGTGTCGCATATTTGTTTTCCTCATTCAACAAGACTAAGTTGGTGCAGGTTTCATTATTTTCCTCATTACTCCTATTCTGTCCTAGGAAACAATTCCTGTTTCTGACTGTCCTAGTTGGGTATCTCAAAAGTGAGTGCATGGGTGTTCTGGTGACGTTAAGGGTTAGGTTGGTGTATATTCCTATTGCTTCATAATTCATCAAATTTAAGGGGACACATAACCAGCAATCTGATGCCAGCTCCTCATTTCCTTGCATCAGCAATGTATGGGTACTGTTTATTTGAATTATCATATCTATTCCAGTATAGTTCTGAGAGTGCCCTTTCAGCATAGCTTGGATTTCTTAAAGGGGAGGGGTCTTTCCTATCTCAGGGGAAGCAGCTTTCCACACCTTTTTGATTTGTAATGTCTATTGCTTTATCTTTTGAGGTCCATGTTTGGTGGTGGACTGATACCCTATATAAACCTGAAATATTTTTCCTTGAAACCACATGGGATTCCATGGGTCTGGCACATTCATGGATATAGGATGACATTGACCTTGTTTACACTTACCACATTTGCCGGCAACACATCCAACAATTGAGTTGTTGAGCCAAACCCTTGTTTTTCCTTTACAGTATGACTTTTCAACCAAGTATCCCCCAGAATCAGAAGCTACCCCAGGTCCCCCATAATGTTTTTCTTGGGCAAGCATAAAAGAATACAGTGAATGGATAGCCCTCTGGTTCCCATTTTACCATTTTGAAAATTACAAAGTGTTCATCACTAGGCTTAAACACCCACAGTTCGAAAACAAAGAAACTCAGAGCACTGATCTGGGATACCACAAGAGTCCATGCTGCCTTTTCCAGGGCTCCTATTCTTCAGCCATGCATTGACTCACCAGCCTCCAGAGTGGTGAGAGCAGAGCTTTGAATATGTTGTCTCTTGGCTTTCAGTGTCAGCTTTATTGTTACCTTGTGCAATGAAGTTTTTGCCTTTCTGATGTCCTGAACAATGTATTACTGCAACTTTGCTAGGTTCCCACACTGTCTCTAGCAACTGTAAAATTTCCTATCTATTCTTAATTTGCTTCCCTTCTGCTGTGAGAAGACCTCACTCTCAAAGAATCATGCCATGGAGGAAATGCATAGTGAGAGTCTGTATATGTTATTTACCTTTTTACCCTTTGCCCATAGGAGTACTTGTATGAGTGCCCAGAACCCAGCCCATTGTGCTGACCAGTCAAAAGGAAGGGGCCCTGGGTAGGATCTCCCCATCCTTAGTTGTTACTGGATATCCAGCATGATGAACCCCATCTTCCATGAAGCTGTTCCCATCCGTGAATAGAACAAGGTCAGCATTGGACAAGGTTGCCATTTGCAAGTCAGGGTGGCTAGAAAAGAGCTCATTGGTGACATTCAAGCAGTCATGATTGGCAAGGCCTGTCTCTGTGGGCAAAAAAGTAGCAGAATTTAAAGTTTTTATAGGAATAAACCACAAGTGGGGGTTCTCACAGAGAAGGGCTTGATACTGAGTAACCTGATTATTTGAGAGCCAGCAATGCTCCCTTGTGTTCAGCAGCTCTAGACCACATGAGGAAACTGCACAGTCAGTTCCTGACCTAAGGTCAGATTGTCTGCTTTTTGGATCAAGAGAAGTGAAGCTGCTAAAGCCCAAAGACAAGGAGGGCATCCTTTTGCTACTGGATTTAAATTCTTAGATAAATATGCCACCACTTGATTCCATGGGCCCACTTCTTAGGTCAACACTCCAAGGGCCACATGTTTTTTCTCAGTCACATATTGAGTAAAAGGCCACTTTACATCTGGTATGTCTAGGGCTGTGGCAGCTGTCAAAGTCAATTTTAATTTCTTAAAAGCTTCCTTTTGTTCTACAGTCCAATGCAGATGATTTTCCTCCTGTCTCTTTAGGGCTTCATAAAGGAGTTTAGAGATTTCTTCAAAACCCAGAATCCAAATTCTACAGAAGTCTGCCACTCTAAGAAACTCTCTCAGCTGCTTCTTTGGTTGGGTCTTAGGGATGGCACTAATGACCTTTCATTTCCTAGGCAATGCATGCCCTGTGTTATTTGAAACCCTAAATATTTAACATGCTGTACACAAATCTGGGCTTTTTTCCATGATACCTTATATCCAGTTTTCTTGTAAGTGCAGCAACAACCTTTTTGTTGCCTTCCCAGCATTGCTCTTGGGTTGGACTACATAATAGCAAGTCATCTACATATTGCAATAGGATGCAGGTTTATTGTTCCACAGAGAAGGTAAGCAAGTCCTTGGCTAAGGCTTCCCCAAAATTCTTAGGTGATTTTTTCGTTGTTGTTGTTGTTACCAGGGATTGAACTCAGGTCCTTATGCTTGCACTTGCACAGCAGGTGGTGAAACCAGGTGAGTTTTTAAATCTCTGTGGCAGTCTAGTCCAAGTAAACTGAGTCTTTTTCCCATCACTTGGGTCTTCCCATTCAAATGCAAAGATGGGTTGACTGAGGGGAGTGATGAGAAGGCAAAAGAAGGCATCTTTTAAATCCAAACAAGTAAACCATGATGTTTCTGGAGGTATCAGACTCAACAAAGCATAGGGGTTAGGGACCACTGGGTGCAGCATTACTGTTCTGCCATTTACAGCCCATAGATCTTTCATTGTCCTATAGTCCACATCAAGTTTCCGAACAGGCAGCAAAGGGGTGTTCCAAGATGACTTACATTCTCTAATAAGTCCAAATTCCTTTAATCTCATGATATGGGGTTTAATTCCAATTCAGACTTACCTGGACATTGGGTATTGTTTTACAGCAATGGGGGCCGAATTGTCTTTTAATTTTACAACTGTGGGTGGATGATTCTTAGCTAAGCCTGGGGGTGATTCCTCTGACCATACTCCAGGGAACATGGTTCTTAATTCTTGCAGAGTCTGGAAAACATCATCCACATTGCAACACTGCCATTCATCCTCTCTTTTAGTTGTAACCATCATGATGCTATCTCTTCCTGGGTCTAAATGCAGAAATGCATTTCCTCATTGGGTGAAAGTTATTGTAGCTCCCAATTTAGATAATAAATCTCTTTCTAGTAAGGGAATAGGACATTCTGGCATATAGAAGGATTCATGTTTCACTTTATGTCCTCCAATTTCACATGTCCTGTCATAGCAAAACTGGTGCTTTTCTGAAATTCCAGTGGCACCAATCACTTGGATGCACTCTCCACTCAGAGGGGCAACTGGAGCTGGTACTACTGAATGTTCTGAACCACTATCCACCATAGAAGTGATGTGATAGTATCAGAAAATAGAAAATATATATGATTCCAACTGAGGAAGAATCATATTGGTGGGGAAAAATTGCACAGATGACTCATCCCTTATTCCTGGCCCTGCTTGCAGCTCCAGGATTCAGGGAGCACCCCAGGTTGAGATAACAAACTAGAGTTTATTTGAAGTACTAACTGAAAACCTGCAGTATGGAGAATCTTTAAGCAGGAGAGGAGAAATATCAGAGGATAATCTATACAAATTATAAAAATTTTATGCAGAGTAAAAGAAACATTAACACACCCTCAGTTGTATAAGAGTACATTTGGCAATAGCCACTTAGTAGCTTAGTATTCAATTCAATCCAATCCAAAGCCTTAGATTACTTTTCTACAAAACATGTGGTGGCATCTAGGTGGGAAGAAGGGCACTGAGCATGGAGTAAGGTGGAGAGTGGTGTCTATCTCAGGTTCCAGCACTGAAAATATGAAGCTTAGAAAACAAAAACAAAATAGTCTCTTCCCTTATTCTAAGATTTAAAGGGGACAGGATTATAGTCTTGTTGTGGACTGGGCAACATGTGGGTGGGCAGAAGAAGATAGCACTACAGAGAAAACTGATGTATCTATCCATGGGACCCAAGCCATTATACATCCTGATAACCAGGAAGAAAATAAATCAATGAAGAATACACTTACAGTGTGACATAGGATTTCTTCATAGGCTTTATAGGAGAGATACTGGTGTAGTACACATAGACATAAAGAGAAAAAAAGCCCAGTCACCATATCTCCATCCTTGTGCACACTAGTGCTCCTTTGGTGAAAGCAGGCTTCATTATCAAAATTACACACTGAGACAGGAAGCTGCCGGAGAAGGAAGACAACAATCAAAGGGAACATCTTAGACCTGTATGCAAAGCTTTAGGCTGAGTGAAGAGGAAGCTTGCAGTACAGCCAGGTAAATATGTTGTGTGTATTACTCCTTGTGACATTGTTTCTAACACAGGTAGATCGTGATGCCCCTGGCTCCTGTCAGCAGCCCCTGCTCCATGTCCCTGGAGAAGTTTGACATTGTTGTCACCTGGGCTCTATATCTGAGGTCTGGCATCTGAGAAAAAAACACAAGTCAAAAACTGTGCTTGAGTATCATTTTCTTCACCTAGAGCCATCATGATTTCGTCCTGTTCAACTAGCAGCAACATCCCAGGGGCTACCTCCTCTTGGGCAGATTTAGTCCTCTTTGTCAATAAGTAGTCACTATAGATGTCATTAATAGTGTTTCTAATGGATTGCAGGAAAGGTTTTTATGTTAGATTTCTTTTAAAGTTGTTTGAAAAGCCCTAAGTTCATGGAAGAAATAGTAGGCATTGTAACTTCCAATGTGGAAGATTGGGCGTTATCACCTGACAGCCCCAGAATCAAGAGCTGCAGCACAGAATGTTCCCTGTAGAGCCATGTTGTCTGTGTACCAATCACATGCACTGAAATGCACAGCCACATGAGCTCTCCATTGATTGGGATAATAATAATTAGATTATAGCCAGGCAACCCAAATTAGTAACTCAAGATCAGTGCAGAATTAAAATGCATTTTGAGTTATTTAATTTAGCTTATTTTCCTAAATCTTCATGTTTTTAGTGTCTTCATTCCATAGTTTAATACATTTTCATAATCAATTTCTACTACTTCAAACCTGAGAACCACAAATATTTAGGTTTTTGTGAAATCATGAGTCTCTGTGGTAAATTTCTATTTTTCCCTTACTATAAAGCAGAGAATCAAAGCTAGAAATGACTTCTGTTTTTCCCATTACACAATATTTTGAGGAGCAGGTATACACAAGCAACATTTACGCTGTGAACTCAGTTAATGTTTCAAGACAGAAAGATTATTCTAAATAATGTGTTTGTTCAACCCATGTTATTTTGCATTTTTCAAAGCCTAAATAATATTCTGCACAAAGAGTGGTCCTCAGTGTGGACTTAGACTTTCCATATCATATAGGTATCACTGTTGGCTTATAAACTGTGACATGTAAATAATAGATGATATGTTAAAGGTGGGTTAGAACCTATTAATTGTTGTAAAGCTAAAGCATTAAAACCTAAAACCTATAAGTTTTAAGAAAAACATATTTTCCAAAATGAAAGATACTGTCCTTATGTCCTCATTTGCCTGTGAAAAATAGCTACTCAAAATAAAGTTGATATAAAAGTACAAAATTTTCAAAGAATTTCAAAAAAATTATGACATAATGAATGTATTATATAATTTTAAAATAATTATATGGCAGATAATACATTGAATCTACTATTTTAAATAAATTATGTAATAATAGTTTTAAGTGAATGGTATTTATGTTTATTTACCTGGACATTGCATATATTATGCAATCAAAGAAAATTTCTGTAATTAAACAAGTCTTTTTCATATGTTACATATTTTAATGCTAAGAAATGGTCTTCTTAGTACATATTTTTTTACTTTTGAAGACAAATGCAGTCATTATTTTGCTGAGGCTGGCATCTAACTCCTTCATTGAAGAGCTCCTTCTGCCTCAGCCTCTCTTGTAAGGGTTATATGGGAGAATGACAGTGCATACTACCTCTTAATATATATTCTTAAAAGTGGCAAAACAATTTCCTTTTATGTAGTTAAACCCACTGTATATTAAAATACTCCTTAATAAACAAAGCACTTATTTGATTCAGGAATATTTAAGGAAGTAATTTCAGTGCCTTCTCATCTTCTATGAGACCACTCCCAAACAATATTTCTGTGTACCTTTATAGTCCAGAACATGGTTTAGTGGATCCAGTGGAATAAGTAAACAGAAAAATTTGACTTTTTTATGAAGTTAGAATTGAAAAAGCAAATCAATTTTAAATATGATGGAAAAATATGTGGTCTTCCTACCTTGGCTTTAAAAGTGAATTGGATACAACATTATACATTGTAAGAAACCTCATGAAGATACCTCTTAATCTACTTATGTACCAAGAAGACAAATTTTTGAAGAAATCATAAAACTCTTGAAATATACATAAGCAAGAAAAAATTAATTATATATACAGTATAGTCTTTAAAATGAGATTTTTATTACCCATGTACACTGAAATAACCCAGTAAAGTCACATAAGTGATATATTGTTTTATAAAGAACGTACACCCCAAATTTCACTGATTTATGTATCAACCATAATGTCACATCATAAGATGATATATCTATTGTTTTCATTATACTTAAAAAGTAGAGTATCGACCAAAAGATAAATGCTTACTTCTCACAAGTTAATAAATTCCTTATTCATATTTAGTCATGCAGTGATATGAATCAAATCAAAACAAATAAAATTGAGAAAGTATTTCTCAACAATTATAAACTAAGCTCTGCCAAATGCAGAGAGAGAGAGAGAGAAAGAGAGAGAGAGAGAGAGAGAGAGAGAGAGAGAGATTGAGAAAGAGGTGGTTCTGACCTAAACATTCAGTAAGAAGTGGCAAGTATTAATGGTGTGTAGTATGAAATCTTGGAATACAATGATTTGTTTCTACCTGAAGACATATATAACTTTGTAAAGAAAAAAAACCATGACTTTCTGTTAGCTACATTTGTGGCATATATCAATAAAATATTAGATTCCAAAAAGTTATAGACTGTTCGATTTGTTTCTAATCGTCTAAAATAATAAGTATTTTTTTTCAGATAAGATATTTCACATGTTGTGCATCCATTTACCTAAAAAAGTCTCAAGTTTATCCTTCATTATGTATGGCATAGTAGTAATCCATTGTATATGAGAACTACATTTTCTTTGTCCATTCTTCCATTGATGGGCATATGGGCTCTTTCCAAGATTTAGCTATTAGAAATTGTGCTGCTACACACAAGGGTGGGGCATATATCACTGTGGTATGATGGTTTTAACTTTTTCATAAGATAAATGGATAGACCTTTAGAACATAATTTTAAGTGAAACAATTTGGACACACATGCTTAAATATAGAATTGCTTCTCTTGTGTGAGAAACTCAAAGGGTAACTAAGGAATAAAATGGAGGATAGATATTTGGAGTGGGAAGAAAATGTTTAAATGGAAGAGGAAGAGGGGAGGGAAAAGTTGGAAGGGAAGAAAGAGAATAGGGAAAAAATATTTAAAAGGACAAAAAGAAAACAATAGAAATAAAATTTTGTAAATGGAGAGGGGAAGAAGGATTGAAGGAAATGGATGGGAATCGTAAAAAAATAACATTATTATGTACAGGTACAAATTCTCTATGATGAATGTGATCATTATGTATTATGTCAAAAAATACCAATAAATTTCATCTTAAAAAGATTTTTCACATTTGGACCAGCATCCTTGATAGACTTAAATGCAGCTTTCTCAATAATATTCTTATAGATCAAATTAAATAACATATTAAAAAGTGTTTTTTTCTCAATCAAGTTGGTTTCATTTCATAAATAAAAGAATGGTTCTATGTATGTAACTCAGTAAACTTTAATGGATTACATAAACAATAACACCAAGCACATAATCATCTCAAGAGATACAGAAAGAAAAAAACCTTGACATCATTAAAGTTTATTTTATGATAAGAGTCCTCAATAGATTAGGTATAGGAGAATCTTATGTCAACATAGTAAGGGCTGTGTACATGACAAAACCCTAGCCTGCATTGTACCAAGTAAGGAAATCTGCATACAATTTCTCTAAAATCAGCATAAAGATAAGGGTGTGTACTCACAGGACTCAATCACTATCATACTGGAAATTTAACCAGAGCAATTAGGCAACAGAAAAATTTAAAAAATATTCAAAAAGGAAATGAGGAAAATCATCATACTTTTCCTGGTAATATTATTCTATCCATAAAAATTACAAAGTACTAAAACCCCTTTATAACTCAAAAATTCTACAAAGTAGCAGAACACAAAATCACCATACAAAGATCAGTGCCTTTTCTATACACTAATACTAAGAAAAAACAAATCAGGAAAGGAATCCAATCCACTAGAATAAAAAAAAAAAGAGAGCCTGAAAGAAAGGCCTAACCAATAATAAGAAAATACATTATAATAAAATTTATAAAATACAGAAGAAAGAAATTGAAGAGCAAAATAGAAGATGCAAAGACTTCCGATGTACATAGATTGGGAAAATAAATATTTTTAAAATGGCAGTGTTTCTCCTAAATGAGGCAAAGATTCAATGCAATTCTCATGACACTTTTCACAGGATTAGAAAAAAATTCTAAAATCATTAAAGAGTACAAGAATCTGAAGAAACAAACATTCTGAATAAAAGGAGCATTCTTGGAGGATTCAAAATGTCTGACTTCAACATTGCAGAGCCATCTAAACAAAACAGTGTTTTATTGGCATAAAAATTGATGTAAAATACTGGAACCGAGTAGAGACCCCAGAAAAAAAAAACATGCATCTTTAGACAAGTGATCTGCAACAAATATGGCAAAAATATACATTCAAGGAAAGATAGTTTAAAAAAATAATTTTGATCGCTTCTTAGCCTTTTGCCTAAGACCAAGTGTAAAACAATATTTTTGAGAGAACTAGATATCCATTAAAAATAATAAAACTAGAATCTTGTTTCTCACCTGGAAGAAAAATCAACTCAAATGGATGAAAGACATTAATACAATATCTGAAACTTTGTAACTACTAGGAGACAGGATACAAGAAATTATAATCTGATAATATGCATGGGATACTTTCTATTATTTTGGATTTACTTCAGCAAGTTTTATGGGCTACAATATAGTGTATTTTGGAAAATGTCTCAGATACCACTGAGAAGAATATGTATTCTATTGTATTTGGATGGAACACTCAATAAATATTTACTAGGTCCATTTATTCAAAAGCTTTGTTCACCTCTGACATTTCCTTTTCAAGATTTTGTTTAGTTGATTTGTTTATATATGACATTCTGGCATTAAGGTCCCTGACTATGATTGTGTCAGTGGTTATCTCATCTTTTGTGCCCATAGTGTTTGTTTTAGGAAGTTGTATGTGGTGTTGTTTGATGCATATAGTTTTATAATTGCTATCCCTTCCTGTTGAATTTTTTTCCTTAAA